GGACAGGAAAGCAGAAATCTTTGATAATTTTTGACCTTACACTGTGAATTGTATTTCATGTTTTGTGACATTCCAACATCTCAAATAGACTTTTTTTAATAGGATCTGGAACACCGTCAGCTGCCTCTAATCAGTCCCCAATGCCTCCAGGATCCACTCCCCCTCCTCACCAGCCAATTGGTCTTGCCCAAGCACAGACAAACAACAGCAACAACAAGACAGATGCTTTCACACAGCAGCTTCATAGGCTGGTGGATAACTGGGCAGAAGGGGTGAGGGCTCCTTCACGCTCACCCTCCCTCAGTCTAAGACCACAGCAACTGACCAGATCCAGGATCTGGAGCGCTATAGAGGTGACATTATTAAAAATACTTCCTTACCAAATATTTAAAGGGTATGTTCACCTAAAACTGTACATTTTAAAATCCTTCATTCATAATATTCCAAAGTTCTTCCAAATTACTATTAAATGGAGTCATGCAGATTTTGAACAACATCAAGATGAGTACATTAAATAATGAATGACGTTTCACTATTCCTTTAAATTGTTATGATGATTTTATGTCGCCTTTATACTCATGTTAAAAGTTTAATGTGAAACAACATAGGCATTCTCTAATGCTAATGTCTTTTTTTTAGGTTCCAATTTCAATAGAAAGATTGAATGCTTCTCAGCTGTCTCTATCATGGCCACAGATAGATTTCCATGCCTCTGTGATGCCGACTGACACTTCACAAGTACTCCAGCGCAGTTTTATGGTGGCTGGTAACCCTTACGGAAAGATGTTGGGCGCTCCACACTTAGACATGGACCACTGGCCAGCAATGACTGCCATTCATAACCAAGAAGTCTTTGCTTTCACTGCTGTGCACTCCCCCTCTTGGACAGTACCTTCTTCCCCCAGCGAGGTTCCTAATTCTAGAAATAGGACCATGTAGCTTCACAATCACTGTACTTATACTTTTTACTCTGTTGCCAAAAATACTTCAGAGTTTCTTTAGAGTGCTAGTTAGGCCTAGCATTGTGCAATTCTGTTGCAGTTGTTAGCATGTAGTTGCTTACAATGTAGTAATCCCTCATGAACATATAAATACTCAGGCCAACAATGTAGGCATATCATCTGTAGTGTACATTCAGTATTATTGTACATATTCATAAAGCCTATGTAGCATAACTGAATTTTAGCATAGGCATATGTACAGAATGTATATTTTTCATCAAAATATATTTAGCTTGCTAGTGAGAGAATCTTCCTTCACACCTTGAGCTGTACACATATGTAAATGCTATAAGGTACAGTAAGATGCTCTTAAATTTGTGTAGATGTGTATAGATACCGTTTATACTTCTGTAA